AAACACAATGTGTGTCTGTCTATGCCTCTCCCTCTCTCTCATTCATGTTTACCACCAATATTCATATTAACTTTTGAGGTAAATTCTAGGCTTGATCCTGGCACTCTATCTGAGTCACTTTAGGCCACCAATAAAACCAGCAACTAGTCAAACAGCATAGACCAAGAAGATCCAACTATTTTTAGTTTCTCAAATGACTACAAAGCCCTTGAATGTCCAGTATAGATTTTTCAGCTAATTATTTTAATTGTGTGGTATTCTAACTACAGATTCTTTTTTCAGTTTTATCGAGGTATAACTAACAAAACTGCAACATAAAGTATACATCGCAATGACTTGCTATATGTATACACTGTAAAAGGATTCCTCCCATCAAGTACACAGGTCCATCACCTCACATGTTTATCAGTGTGTGAGAGAGAGAGAGAATATTTAAGTTCTACTCTCTCAGCAAAATTCAAGTACCCTTTCCCAACCTTAGGGAGAGGTTGGTAAAAGAGTACAAGTAGTATCATTTTTTTATTGAGATAAAACATACGTAACATAAAATTTACCATTTCAACAATTTTAAGTATACAATTCGGTATCATTAGAAATACTCTCAATGTTACATAACTGCCACCAGTATCCATTTCCAGAACTTGATTTCATCATCCCAAACAGAAATTCTAAATCCATTAAATAGTAACTCCCCATTCCCCACTTCCCCTGGCCCCTGGTAACCTCCTAATCTACTTTCTGTCTCGATGAATTTATTTAGTCTATGTACCTCATATAAGTGAAATCATGAAAAATTTTTCCTTTTGTCTGGCTTATTTCACTTAGCATGTTTTTCAAGGTTCATGTACATAGTGGCATGTATCAGAATATCATTTTTTACAGCTGAATAATATTCCATTGTAGTATATATTTTATTTTGTTTATCCAGTCATTCATTGCTGAACATTTGGTTTATTTCCACCTGTTAGCTACTTTGAATAATGCTGCCATGAACACTGATGTGCAAGTATCAGTTTGATACCCTGCTTTCAATTTTTGGGGGTATATACCTGGAAGTGGAATTGCTGGATCATCTGGTAATTCTATGTATAACTTTTTGAGGAACGACCATCCTGTTTTCCAAAGTGACTGCACCATGTTACATTCCCACAAGCAATGAACCAGGTTTCTAATGTCTTCAAAGTCTAACCATCACTTATTTTACATTTACTTGACAATAACCATCCTACTGACTGCAAAGTCGTATGTAATTGTGGTTTTGATTTGTATTTCCTGAATGACTACTGATATTGATCATCTTCTCATGTGCTTATTGGCCATTTGTATACCTTTTTTGGAGAAAAAGCTATTCAAATCCTTTGCCTAGTTTTGCACTGGGATTTTTTTGTTGTTGTTTAGTACAAATATATTTTTAATTAAATTTATTGGAGTGACATTGGTTAATAACATTATATAAGTTTCAAATGTACATCTGTATAATATGACATCTGTATGTTCTATTGCGTGCCCACCACATGAAGTCTAGTCTCCTTCCTTTACCATATATTTGATACCCTTTACTCTTCGCCCTCCCTCCCACCTCCCTTCCTCTCTGGTGACAATCATTCTGTTGTTTATATCTACGAGTTTGTTTGTCTTGTTTCATGCTGTCCTTGTCCTTTTCCATCTGACTTATTTAATTTGCCATAATCATCTCAAGACCCATCCATGCTGTTAAAAATGGTAATATTCCATTTTTTTTTTATGGCTGAATAGTATCTTCTTCATCCAATCATCCATCAAAGAACACTTAGGTTGTTTCCATGTCTTGGCTATTGTGAATAATACTTCAATGAACATAGGGATGCATTTATCTTTTTGAATTAAGTGTTTTGGTTTTCTTCAGATAAACAGCCAGAAGTGGAATTGCTGGGTCATATGGTAGATCTATTTTTAATTTTTGGAGGAACCACCATAATATTTTCCATAGTGGCTCCACTACTTGGCATTCCCACCAGCAGTGTACAACAGTTCCCCTTTTCCCACATCCTCTCCAATACTTATTTATTGTCTTATTGATAGTAGCCATTCTAACAGGTGTGAGGTGTTATCTCATGGCAGTTTTGATTTGCATTTCTCTTATGACTAGTGATGTTGAGCATATTTTCACCTGATGGTCATCTCTATGTGTTCCTTAGAAGAGTGTCTATTCAGATCTTCTGTACATTTTTAACCGGATTGTTGATTGTTTTGCTGTTGAGTTGTATGAGTTCTTTGTATATTTTGAATATTAGCCCCTTATCAGAGATATCATTTGCACACATTTTCTCCCATATGGTCAGTTGTTTTTCGTTTTGTTGATGGTTTCTTTTGCTCTGCAGAGGCTTTTTAGTTCAGTGTAGTCCCATTCATATATTTTTGCTTTCATTTCCTTTGCCTTTGAGGTCAATGTCACAAAAACCCATCTGAGGCCAAATCTGTAAGTTTAGTGACTATGTTTTCTTCAATGTGTTTTATTGTTTAGATCTTACTTTCAAGTCTTTAACCCATTTTGAGTTAATTTTTATGTAGGGTGTCAGATGACAATCTAGTTTCACTATTTTGCATATGGCTTTCCAGTTTTCCCAATACCACTTATTAAGGAGATTTTCCTTTCTCCATTGTATGTTTTCTGGCTCCTTTGTCAAAAATCAGTTGTCCATATATGTATGGATTTATTTCTGGGCTCTCAGTACTGTTCCATACAGCTCTGTTTTTTTTTTATTCTTCCAGTATCATACTCTTTTGATTACTGTAGCTTTGTAGTATAGCTTAAAGTAAGGGAGTGTGATAGCTCTAGCTTTGTTCTTTTTTCTCAGGACTGCTTTTGGCTATTTAGGGTCTTTCAGGCAAACTGACAACATATGTCAGAGAGCAAGATCTCAAATGTGCTGAGAATTCTTTATCATTGATACTTTTTTAAAGATTCTATTTATTTTTAGAGTAAGGTGAAGGGAGAGAGAAAAATAGAGAGAGAGAAAGAAAGAGAGAGAGAGAGAGGGAAAGAAAGGGAGAGAAACATCAATGTGGGAGAGAAACATCAATGTGAGAAACATCAAGCAGTTGCCTCACGTACCCCGAATGGGGAACGAACCTGTAAACGAGGAATGTGCCCTGACCAGGAATTGAACTGGTGACCTTTTGGTTTGTGGGACAATGCCCAACCAACTGAGCCACACAGGTCAAGTCTATCATTGACATTTGACAGTCTGAATAAAATGTCTTGGAGGTCTTTTTACATTGATATAATTAGGTATTCTGTTAACTTCCTCTATTCTAAAGTCCAATTCCTTCAATAGGCTTGGCAAGTTCTTATCAATTATTTTTTTTGAGTAGCCTCTCTGTTCTTTTCTGCCTCTCTTATCTTTCAGTTATACCTATTATCCTTATGTTGCTCTTTTTAATGGAGTCAGATAGTTTTCTAAATTTTTATTTCCTCTTAGTTTTCTCTCTTCTTCCTCCTGGGTCACTTCTAGGTTTCCCTTTCTCTTCCATCTGGTTTGTTCTATTTTCAGTGCTCTCTAGTGAATTCCTCATCTCCTTTATTGAGTTCTTCAACTCCAAAATTTCTGGTTGGTTCTATTAGTTTCAATCTCTTTGGTTAAGTATTTCTTCTGTTCATTGATTTTATTCTTGAATTCATTAAACTGCACTTCTGCGTTATCTTGTATATCATATCATCCATTAGGACAGTGCTGAATTCTGCTATGCTGCATAACTCTACAATGTACTCTAATCTTTTTGTTTCATAACTGTAGTGTTGAATTCTCTGTCATCTAAATCACTGCTTGGGCCCTGACTGTTGAGGCTCAGTGGGTTGGGCATCGCTCCACAAACTGAAATGCTGTAGGTTTGATTCACAATCAGGACATATGTAGGTTTGATTCACAATCAGGACATATGCCATGATTCACATCTGGGTTATGGGCCAGGTCCTTAGATGGGGGCATGTGAGAGGCAACCGATCAATGTTTCTCTCACCAATCAATGTTTCTCTCCCTCCCTTCCCCTATCTCTAAAAATAAATAAATAAAATCTTAAATCACTGTCTGGTTTCTGGAGATTTTTCATTTTCTTTCTGCATTCCCAGTTTACCTTTGTTATTCACAGCATTTGAGGTAGTAAACTCTTTTCTTGTTTAGAATCTGTTTTCCTTTCAACATTTAGTAGGTTGATAGGTAAGGTGCTTTCTTTTTGCTATGCTGCTTGGGGAGTCTCAGAATTCCCCACCAGTCTCTGCTGGGGAATGTTGGGAAGTGGGGTAGTAAGCTCGCCATCCTGTGGCTCTGCCCATTTCAAGTAATGACTGTCACCCTGTTGAGTTGTTTAAAGCCTCCCTTTCTTTACCAGGATCTGAGAAGAAGTTGGTGGCAGGAAGCGAGATTGCAGCTTGCAGCTCCGCCCCACCTCCAGTAATGGCTGTCAGCACTGCTGGGTTGTTTTAGGCTTCCCACCCACCTTTACCTGGCTCTTTCACAATGGGATGGAGAAGGAAGATCCCTTTTCTCAAAGAGAAATGGCTTCCGCCTGTCATGTGCTCCAGGCCATAGTGTGAAGCCTGACTTCTCTACTATTGCTCTTGTCGGGGTTGCAGTAAGTTCTGAACTGCATCAGCAGCCACTATCCCTATCCTTCTCCCGTCTTGCTTCACCAAAATGCTCAACTTCGGATGTCCCAATGCATGGATCTTTCAGGCATATTTATGTGTTGAGCAGGGGATCATTTGTTAAGTTATGGTTATCTGATTTGTTATAAATTTAAGGGGAGAAACAATGGAGTTCTCTCACTCCACCAGGATGGTTATGCTATTTCCACAAGTATCTTTTTAATACCTGATTTTGGTGAGACATCTGAACAGTTCAGTAACAACTGTAATCATTCCCCATCTATCAATTTTTAAAAATGTAAAGTAACTATTCATAAAAAACATGACATAATAAAATATACTGATATATTTTATAAGAAAAAATGGGTGATCTTACCTACAATCTTGACTATTAATTAGTAATTCAAGGTTTTGGGCTGATGATGAATCTATCATGGCTGTCTGTTCACTGCCTTGAAAACAAATCTTCAGAGATTTTGGTGCATAAACTGAATTTTGAATAAATTCAACATATTTTAATAAAGCTGCAACAGCTGCAAGGCAGTAATACCTGTAAGATGAACAATGATACATTACTATAAATCCTGAGAACAAAAAAATTTGCTATGAAGTGAAAAATGTATTTCACCTTGATATTAGGAAAATTAGAAATATTTGCATAACACCACTCAAATTCAAAGAAAATACACTAAGTGTTACTGATTTTTGAAAACTATGTAAATTACCTCCAAAACATAAAACTTGATTAAAAATGGACAATTTTTGGAGTCTGACACTTAATGGATATTAGATGCCAATAAACCATGTGTTAGAAGTCAATATTCAATGGTAATTTGTGTCAGTTTTTGATGTGCCATTCTAAGCATTCAAATAATGTTGAAAGACTGAATTTTAAAGGTAAGTCAGGAGGTCCCAAGGTATAGGAAAGTAGATTATAATATCAGTGAAGATAGTCACTGTGATTAACAAGTAAACAAGTAGTCCAAACTGGCTCAAAGAAGTATCTATTTGGCTTGTTCTAAGAAATACCCTTTTCAAAAACATCATTCACGGTCACATGCTGAATCTTTTAGCAGTAAAGGTATGAAGTAACAGAACAAAACTTTAACTATATTTAACTTCTGTGCCCTCACATTTCTAGTTTACTATTATCTACTTGAGCAGTTCGCTCCACAGTAAAGTGAGCAGCAACCATTAGGGCAATAGATTGTGACTAATGTGGAGAAATTCTCTATAAATTAAGTTATCAAGGTATATCTTGAGCTTTAGTTAATTTTACTGTTTATTTCACTGTTGCAATAATTACTCAGTTGTATTATAAGCCAGGCACTTTTCTAAGTGGTAGGAATATAGGAGAGAACAAATCAGACAAAATATCTTGCCCTTGTGGAACTCACATTATACATTTATGACTTTCCTTGGATTATAACTTACTTGGACTGAACTTCCATCAGAACAGTGCTGAATTCCGCTATGCATAACTGTTCAATGTACTCCAGTCCTTTTGTTTCATTGAAGTATTTTCTTTGGACAGTAGTGAAATTTACATTCTGAAAAAATTTTAATTTCAAAATAAATTTTGTTTCATGCACTTACCCAAAACTGGTTTGTACACACATGTCTGTACATAGCTTAAATATTATATAAAGTTTATTTTTAATGTTTTCCATAATTAAATGAAAAGTTTTCTTATTTACAAAAAAAATATGAATGATTAACTGTCTTGCTAAGTGAATTATAGTATAGCCTGTAACTCTTGTTAGAGCATATTCACACGAAATTTAACTGAGTATGTTAGGAAGCATAATAAAAAATAAACATAAGAATCTTTTCCTTCTAGTAATTTTATTCTATAGCCACATCATCACACAAGTTTTACAATCAGCCTGACATACTGTAGATCCTTATAATGTGCTAGTTGACTAAGATGAAAACATCAATTCCACCTGTCAAATCTATTAAGTGATGTCTACATGAGGTGAATTTAATTTATTCAAAATAATGAAAAGCAGCCCTGGCTGGTGTGTCTCAGTGGATTGAGTGCCAGCCTGAGAACCAAAAGGTTGCTGGTTCAATTCCCAGTCAGGGCACATGCCCAGGTTGCCTGCCAGGTCCCCAGTTGGCAGCAAGCAAAAGGCAACTGATTGATGTATTTTTCGCACATCAATGTGTCTCTCCCTCTTTTTCTCTCCCCTTTCCCCTCTCTCTAAAAATAAATAAATAAAACATGCCCTGGCTGATGTGGCTCAGTGGACTGAGTACTGGCCTGCGAACCAAGAGGTCTGTGGTTCGATTCCCAGTCAGGACACATGCCTGGGTTGCAGGCAGAGACTCAATCATGTTGATGTTTCTCTCCCTCTCTCTCCCTCCTTTCCACTCCTCTAAAAGTAAATAAATAAAATCTAAAAATCAAAAATAAAATAAAATAAAATGAAGTCAATAATGGAATCTTTTTTGCAAAGAGAAAAAAACAGCATAAAGTTGTAGAGCAAAAGGTATACTACTTTGAATGAAAATAGGTAAGGCAGGTAATCCAACATTGGACTGTTAAAAATCTATAAGGCTGGGAAAAATCATAAACAGGCAGGTAATTTATTATGTGCCAAGAATGTTTTAACAGCTGTCATTGTGAAGATAATAATCTTATGACATATGTCATCTTATTAACTACAATTTCCATATAAGTAAAATTCTGAAAAGTCAAGTATACAGTTGATATGTATCAAAAATAAAACTTGAATTTAGAATCTTTGACTTACAAAGTCAATGTTCCTTCAATTTCATATTGCTTCTGATTTAATAAAGGTAATTATGGTAATAACAATAATAACATTGATTTTTTCCCTCTACTTGTAATACTTTTACCCCCAAATATTTCCATGGTTCGCTACCTCATTCCATTCAGGACCTTGCCCAAATGTAATCTTATTGATGAGGCCATTTATTAAAGCCCTCTATAAAATATCAGTTCTCTAGGAGACAGTTACTGTTATTGTCCCTTTTTTACTGATGAGAAAACCTGAAGCTCAAAGAGGGTAAGATGACTCGCATAAAGTCTCTTAAAAATCAGTATTTGTAACCGGAACAGTCCAACTCCTCTATCCTTAAGCACTATGCTTTACTGCCTTATACCTCAAGTATAGTGAATATCTGTTACTTTTGCCTTTGGAGGATTCATCTATCCCACATTGCACATGGTTGTGGTAAGACTACTAACTATAGAACTCTGTGCCCCACAACAATAAGTACATGAGTTAATCAACTAATCATCTAATCAACTAATACTGTCTCTATCCCCAGAAATAGTGTTTAGCCTAACATGTGACAATATGAACAAAGCAGAACCAGCCAGGGTTCTTCCCGGGAATTCATATACAGATGCAAGAAGAAAAAAGTTCTTTTTTTCTCTGAGTTGGTTTAGCCAACACAAGTTAGCCTGGAACTATCGGCAATCTTCTTAAACCTCATAGAGGTAACCTATCAGCAGATTAAAAAAAAAAAGATGTTGGTGGGGATGACACTATGGATAGCATCTATGCAAATATTTGGTTTCCCATTTATATAAGCCAATATATTTCCTTTTTTACTTAAGGTAGTTTAAGTTGGTTATTTATAACCAAAAACTTAGAATGCTTAATCAAAAAAATAAATAATGGAAGTTGGAGAGGTATGCATTAATAAGGGTGATGGAAAGAAGTTAGAAATAATGAATGAAAGAAACAACAGATAAAGGGAATTGTCTAATGGAGACAACAGATTTACAAGAGGGACCATTTTTGGCAATGAGTCAAAGATGGCAGAGCTACTACATAGGATCTCTAAGACCATCAGAAAAAAAATCTTACATGACTGCACATTCTGTATATTAAGAACAATAAAGAACTCATTGAACCCTAAATCTTAGCTTGGTTCCAAAAGTGTTAAAGATGAGTCTAAAAACATAACATAATATAACAAAATAAAACAAAATATAGTATATTGTAAAAATAATTTGCACTCATCAGGAATTATTCCAACTGTAATGCTGCCTACTTGGTTCAGAAAAACAGACCCCTTTCCACACACACACACAAAAAGAGATTTGCTAGAGGGATGAAATAAACTACAATACATGGTGGAAATGGCCTTACTGAGGGGAAGTGCACTGGTTGGATAAGGTTCCAAAGCACTTACCTGTCATAGTCCCACAGCTGGAGGCTAAAGTAGCAGGCTAATTGTGAGACAATACATACTACCAGGGGAAGCTGAAACAATTCTGTAATATAGATCAAATTCTTTAAAGGAAAAGTATTTGCTGATAGCTGCTATTCCCTAAAGAACAAGAACTTCGATTTCAACAGGTCTGCCAGCTTAATAACTAGTTTCCAGGAAGCCAGACCTAAGGAAATCCATGCTTTCTCTGAGGGTCTGCCTCCTGTATACTCCAAGAAACCTCCTTGTTATCTAAAATATTTTTCTTTTTATTTAAAGTAGATCAAAGGTATAAAATCAAATAAGTGGATTCCCTGTCATTTTTATTATATATAAATAGTTAGATTAGAATTTGTATTAAGTGCATACTTTAGGGTGAAGCAAAAGCAGGTTTACAGTTGTTTGTATGGATAATAGTAATTAATAAATAATAATATAAGAATAAACTTTGTGTCTTACATACTCACAACTGTAAACCTACTTTTGTCCTACCCTATAGAGTTACTCGAAGTATTGGATTTTTTTAAAAGGTTTTATTTATTTATTTTTAGAGTAGGGGTTAGGGGGAGGACAGGGAAGGAAGGGAGAGAAACATCAATATGTGAGAGGAACCAGGAATTGAACTGGTGACCTTTTAGTTTGTAGGCCAGTGCTCAATCCACTGAGCCGCACCAACCAAAGAAGTACTTGGTTTTAAGTAAAGATCTCAAATGTTACTATTGAGAATAAAACCACTTACCTTGAAATTCTCTGTGATCAGAGTAAACAACTTTGTTGAATTCCCCACAACACAAGCAGTATTTGACATTATTATTTCCAGAGGTGATAAAATTTTGAGTTTAGTGATCACCTAAAATCATTTGAATAATCAATTTCTTAGAAGTAAACTTAGGATTCTCTAAAACAAAGAAGTTTCATATATTTTGAGAGAGGAGTACTTAAAATATTTTCATAAATATATAAAATTACAACAGTCATATATTTCAACTAAAATGTATTTCTAATGATTGTATATTAAACATATATCCTATACAATTATAAATATAAAATATTATCATAAACATAGGCTATATTTTACTTACAATAGTTTGTAACAGCTCTAAACCAAAAAATTAATTTTAATTTTTCAAATATGTACTCCTAAAATAAGATATTTTTTTAAATAAATTATTCTAATCAACATTTTACCCATCTCTATGAAAAACATGCCCTGGCTGGTGTGGCTCAGTGGATTGAGGACCTGTCTGTGAACCAAAGGGCAGCCAGTTTGAATCCTGGTCAGGGCACGCACCTGGGTTGTGGGCCAGGTCCCCAGTAGGGGTACATGAGGGGCAACCACACATTGATGTTTCTCTCCCTCTCTTTCTCCCTCCCTTCTCCTCTACCTAAAAATAAATACATTTTTAAAAATAAAAAAAAACAGAGTATAACCACGGTGATACAATCGATATAATCTTACTGGTACAGCTTAGAAGTTAAAAAGTAAAAAAATCGGATATGAGAAACATTTGCTGTATGCTTTTCACAATATAAGGTGCATTTCTTAGCACTACTCTAGACACAAAAATTCTTCATCAATTTGACTAAAATTACTTTTATATAAAAACTTGCTTCCTATTCTTTTTAAATTGCATTAAAATCTGAAATACTCAGAGATGAGGGTAATATGCAATACTAACATTAGTTAAGTTGTTAGGTATATTAAGAAGTTTATTAGGTAGGAAAAGGAAGCCTATATACTAGGAAATCATAAAGGAGAACTAGTGAAAGGAATTAAAAACCCCACTATAAATAAAATAGTATTATCATCTTTTTAAATAATAGTAATTGGGTCAAATAACTTTTTAGAATATAAAGAGTAGGAATAGGCCACCTCTACCTGATAAGTCACACAAATTCCCATAACAACAGACCAGTGACCCCACTTAATGAGTAACAGGAAGTAAAGGCAAGAAGAGATTAAATTATGACTGATCTAAGAGACCTGTTTCACTTAAATCTCAAAAATAATATTCAAATACAGCTCAGCGGAAATAACACTGTGGAGACAGCATTATTACATATATTATCTTTGGAATAAAACTAGGAATTATAATTTAAAGGTAATTTTAGAAACTAAAATATAAGTAATTTGGAATGCTTAAATAACAGCAAAACACCATTTTTAGGACTAAATATACTTTAAAATATCAGGTGTTAAACAATTTTATTTTAATTCAGAATAATATTAGTACAATATTGAATAACCTATATTTTGCCAAAAAGTATACTAATTAGGACAGTACTAACTTGAAATTCTGGCTAGGTCAATCATTTTCTAGGATTATTAATACTTACCTTTGTATATGTTGTGTTGTCTGCAAACTGAGATAATATAACTTGTGGGCTTTTTAAATCGATACTTGCCATTCCTATTTCACCTCTGGCAAGTCCTCTCCCTTCTACAACAGCTACAACAACTGATGCGGAATGTGCAGAAACTGCAGATGAGGACGTAGCTGCTAAAAAAATTTTTTTAATATATAAACATTTATAATAATAATTTCTACTTTTTTCTCATAAGATCTCAAAGCATCAAGTATAGGATATGGCTATTAATATTCAAGAAAATAATCTCTTTTTAGTCATAAATAAATAACTTTTCATATTCAAATAAAAAATACTAATTTTCAAAGTATTCTGCCAAAACTTCATTCACATTCAGAAATAACAAATTTACACATTATCTTATTTTACATTTTATTTAAATGCAGCCATAAAACAAACACTGAATTTGGGATCAAAAAACCTAGATTATTTAAAAATCATTTAAAAGATACGTGAATTTGAACAAAGTATTTCATAATAAATAATCATCAATCTCAACATATAATAGAATAACTGCCCTACCTAACTCAGGTATAAAATATATAACTATAAACTTCAATTACAAGATATATGTGTAATGGTGGATATTTTATTCTTAATGTGCCAAAAAGTTCTAAGTTCTCTAATTGGATTAACTCATTTAATTGTCACAACAATTCTATCACAAACATCATTCATTATTTTCTCCACTTACTTATAAGGACACTGAGGCACAGATGGAACTAGCAGAGTCAGAATTTGCACCCAGGAAGCCTGGTTCCAGACCTGGCACTCTTAACCACAACATATATGGGTATAACTGATTTTGAGATATGTGCTTTATAAAGAGGTAAACTGTTTAATCTTTCTAAAACTACCATTTCTTCATTTGTAACTGAAAATACAAAACCTATTACACAAAGTTGTAAGAATGCAATAATATAAAAGGGTTTGAAAAATATATGAAACTATTTAAATAGAGAGCATTATTAATGGATAAAATTGTCACACTAAAAATATCTGAAATTTTATTTTCAAAGAAGTAAAATTACCTTTTATTTCCTTGTCAAAATTTCAATACATCCCTCTTTATACCTCTTTCCCCTCCCTGACCTAGATTCGTTTTTTTCTTTTCTAGTCTTCTACTAATATGTATACAAAATTACTTACACATTTATGCTATCTTAGTCAATAATCAAATTAAGAATTCATGTAAAAATCTATGGTGTCTAGATTTCACAATTATTTCTGCCATGAAAGCCATGCTATACATTGTGATTGAGTTTACATTAATCTATAGGAGTCAGGTTAAGTTCTGCAATAGAATATGACCTTCCTATTTGTCACTGTAAAATAATATCAAGTTTCAGTGGAAATTTCAGTACTCTCAGCAGACATTTCTTTAAACTTCTAGAAGAACATTTAGTGTTATTTCTGTTATAAACAATAATATACAATGTTGCAAAAGTAGGTTTACAGCTGTGAGTGTATGAAACACAAGTTTATTCTTGTATTATTATTTATTAATTATTGTATTGTTTTCCACACAAACAATTGTGAACTACTTTTGCCCAACCCTGTAGAATGAATATCCTTGTGCATAAAGCTTTTTTCTGAGTCTCTTATTATTTCCTTAAAGTGGATCCTTAAAAGTCAAATAACAGAAAAACAAGATTTTTTTTTGTATTGAATTTATTCGAGTGACACTAATTAATAAAATTACACAGGTTTTAAGTGTACAATCCTATGATACATCCTGTATATTGCATTGTGTGCCCAGAAAACTACCATTATCTAAGGATCTCATGTATATATTACCAAGTTTCTTCTCAGAATTACACAAATTTTTAATTCCATAAGCAGTATGAGAAAAACAAATTTTACAGTATCCTTACCAAAAATTACTACTAAAATGTATTGCTATTATTATTATTGGCTAATTTAATAGACTGGTGCTTAAATTTGTACTTTTAAAAGTGACTATAAAAATTGAATATAACTTAACATATCCATTTGTTTTCTATATTTTCTTTTGAGATGTTTATATTCTTTTAATACAATTTTTACTATGTCAGTTCTTTTTAATGTTTTATTGATTGACTTTAGAGAGAGGAAGGGAGGAAAGAAGAAAGAGAGAGAAACATCGATTTGTTGTTCCACTTATTTATGCATTCACTGGTTGCTCCTTGCATGAGCCCTGATTGGAGATCGAACCTGCAACCTTGGCATATCGGGATGACGCTCTAACTAACTGAGATAATGGGTCAGGGCTACAATTTTTATTAGGTCTTAATGTTTTCAGTCTGTTTTTATGCATATTTTGTAACTTAATCAGAATAATTTATAGTTGCTACTAATCTTAATTTTTTAGTATTTCAAAGATTTTTACTTTGTATAGACAATATTTTTCTTTATAATTTCTTATATTGCCTTTCTTCTAAGAAACTTCTCCTTCATTAAGATATTTGATATGCTCCCCTGACTGGTGTGGTTCTGTGGGTTGGGCATCATCCTACAGGGTGACAGATCACCAGTTCACTTCCTGGTCCCCAGTGGGGGACCCCATGAGAGGCAACCAATCGATGTTTCTCTCTCTCTCTCTCTCCTTCCTAATTCCCCTCCCTCTCCCTCTCTCTAAAAGTAAGTAAATAAAATATTTTTTAAAAATATATTTGAGGGATCAAGGTGGTAGAGGAGTGAGTGGAAGTCACACTGACCTCCTCCCAGGACCAACCTGGAATTACAACTAAATTGTGGAGAAATCACCTGGAACAACTGAATGATAGCGAGAGGAGCCTTATAATCTCAGAGACAGAAGAATCAGTTTTAGCAAACCTAACTGGTAAGGAGTGCAGTAGAGACTTGAGAAGGCGGGTAGGGCACCCACAGGCAGCAGCACCAGAAGGATATTGAAATGGCCAGTTAGATCCCCCTGAGAAGAGCGGGGTCTAAACCATAAGCAGGAATCTCTGGCCTACAGCATCAGAGCCCAAAAAAGTACACAGATAACAGCCAGCTTGTAAAAAACGGCAGGGTTGCTCTCTGCCAGAGACAGGGGGCTGGAGATGCAAAGAGCCGTTTAAAAAGCCAATGCTTAAATTTTTATTTACAGCCATTTACCCTGGGCTTTAGCAAAGGTGGGGGCAGAGTGGGCTAGAGACGCCAGAGGAGAGACTGGGGAATCTTTGAGGAGAGAACTGAGAGAGTAGACACCGAGATCCCAGTGCTGATGCATCCCTCAAATGGCAGCAGCCATCTGGCTCAGGCAGACCACTCCCCTGAGTGGTAGCAACGTGAGAAGACCCAATAACCCCGCCCCCAAGAGGAACTGTGCCCTGCCCTGTGGTGTCTCTAAGCTGGACTGCTGAGCGCAGTGACTAGATTGACAGCTGAAGGAGACAGCCACAGACAGTGGGTTCCTGGAAGGCTCGAACAGACTGCCTAAGGGCAGACAGGGTCAACATCTGACATGATCAGAGGAAGATCCAGAAAGAAAAAAAAATAGCAGTCTCCTACTATAACGGGGCACAGCCAGGGCCCGCCAAAGGGTATTTGTAACAAGGTCCAGTAAATGGGGTGTCCAAGAAAAAATATATTCTCCCCACCCCAGGGCGGGCTGCCTTGGGAACCTTGAGCAGGGCCATTGAGAGTCATCTTGCATGTCAGTAACAGGATAGCTTCATTCCTTATATTCAAAGAGGGTTATTTTGCATACCACCAAGGCTAATCAAGAAGGTTTAAAAGACTTAATACAGAATGTAACTGGGAGAGAGAGGAAGGAGGAGAGACAGGGGCCTAGGGGAGAGACAAAGGGATACAGACTCCGGAGAACAGTGTGAAGAGCACACAGGAAGAAAGGGGGGCCTCTTTCAGTGGGCTCTTTTCTCAGCTACCCCAGTACTTCCTCAATAGACCCATGAACAAAGTGGCCATGGTGACAAGGATGGTGTCTATGCATGAGCTCAGTATGAACTTATTCTTACTAAAGCTGACCTGGTTAATCACACTGCTGAGTACCTAATCTGCCAACATTAGAGAGCAACATTAAATGTCCCCCAAAGCACCACTCCCCAAGGAGACAGCCCATCACCTCAGATTCATTACACTGGATTTCTTCCATCACAGAGGGGGAAGATGTATGCCCTCTCTAGAACAAACACATGTTCTAGATTCAGATTTCCCTTATTTGCCCACAATGCTTTCACAAGCATCACCATCTATGAATTCATAGAATGACTTACCCACCATTTTCAAGCCAAAGAGAGAGGCCTCAGAATGAAAGGAATCTGCTGATATCCTGACCTTGAACTTCTAGCCTCTAGAACTGTGAGAAAGTAAATTTTTGTTTATGCCACCAAGTCAGTGGTATGTTATTATGGCAACCCTAGGAAATTAATACAGTCACTGACCATAAAAATCAACAAAAAGAACAAGAGGAAAAAAGAATCCAAAAAAATGAGGAAACTATAAGCAGCCTCTGGGACAACTTCAAGAGATCCAACATTCACATCATAGGGGTGCCAGAGGAAAAGGGAAAGAGCAAGAAATTGGAAATCTATTTGAAAAAATAATGAAAGAAAACTTCCCTAATCTGGTGAAGGAAATAGACATATAAGTCCACGAAGCACAGACAGTTCCAAATAAGATGGATGCAAAGAAGCCCATTCCAAGACACATCATCATTAAAATGCCAAAGGTTACAGATAAATAGGGATTCTTAAAAGCAGCAAGAGAAAAATACTTAGTTACCTACAGGGAAGTTCTCATAAGACTGTCAGCTGATTTCTTCAAAGAAACTTTGCAGGCTAGAAGGGATTGGCAAGAAATATTCAACGTCATGAAAAGCAGGAATCTACAGCCAAAATTGCTCTACCCTGCAAAGCTATCATTTAGAATCGAAAGGCTTCCCAGACAAGAAAAGAGTAAAGAAGCTCATCATTACCAATCTATTATTATATGAAATATTAAAGGGACTTATTTAAGAGAAAGATCAAAACTATGAACAATAAATGGCAATTAACACATATCTATCAACAACTGAATCTAAAAAACAAACTAAGCAAACAAGAACAGAGACAGAATCATGGATACAGAGAGCATTTTGATGGTTGCCAGGTGGGAGTGGGCTATGGGGGAATGGATGAACAGGCGAGGAGATTAAGTACAAATAGGTAGTTATATAATAATCATGTGGATGTAAAGTACAGTATAGGAAATGGAGTAGCCAAAGAACTTTTATACACATGCCCCATGACATGAACAATGGTGTGGGTATTGCCTGAGGGAGTAGGGGTGCTGGGTGGAAGACAGCAAAAGGGGAAAAATCAGGACAATTGTAATAGTATAATCAATAAAATATAATTTTAAAACAGTAACAGAAACATAGAAATAAGTTTAGCAAACATATATAAAATCATGTAGAAAATTATAAAACTTTACGGACAAACATTAAATAAAGCCTACGTGGACAGGTATCCCATGCTCATGGATGAAATAATATTTTCATAATCCCTATAAGGATCTATCAATTCAGTACAAATACCATTTCAATTAATATTTCAATGTGTTGTTTGTGACCTAAAATCTACATGGAATAGCAAAGGGACAAGAAAAATCCAGACTCTCCTGAAGGAGTAAAAATGGTCAGTGGAGGACAGGATGGGAGGGCTGCCCTCGTAGATATCAAGATGTAATATAAAGCTAAAGACAGTGTGATATTGGCAGAAGCAGACATAATGACTCATGGAAGTTAAGAGAGGCAGAAACAGAAGCATACATATTTGGGTCTATGATACATGACAAACAAAGGTGGCATTCCAAGTCAGTGAAGAAAGGATATTAAAGAAATAAACATTATCTCTATGAGAAAAATAAAATGAAATTGACTTCTTACCTTGCATTATAAACAAAACTCAATTATAGGTACATTAAAAACTTAAATGTAAAATGCAAAACTTCAAAATTCTTGGAAGAAAATATAGGCAGATATTTTTCTGTCCTGAGACACAGATAAAGCTCCTAATCAATACATACAGGGCAGTAATCACAAAAGAAAATATTGACAAATTTGACTCTATTAAAATGAATAATTCTGATATCTGCTTCTGGTAATGGCAGACAAAGTTATTTAAAACCATTCTCTTGATGAAAACAACAAACTCTTACACAAAATGTAACTATACAAACATACATGCAAAAATCATACCAAACACAAACATAACAAAAATACATAAAAACATACAAAAAAACTTCTTAAAAGCGTTAAAGAGTTTCAGGAATGCCCTGTTTATATGCCAGGACATATTGAATTATACACTTTAAATGTGCAGTTTATTGTATGCTTATTATATCTTAATAAAGCTGTTAAAAAATTTCACCATGTCACACTGATACTTTTAATTTACCTTTTAAAAAATATTAAAGAGCAGGAAGATACTGAGGAATTTCTGGGCCTATATCCAGAAAATATAAGAATCCAGATAGGAAAGCCCAGCAAAAGTAGCCAGTTTTTCTTTGAAGCCATTTGCCTATATAAAAGTAAGGAAGTAAAAAAATAGAAAAATACACACTACAGAAGCACTAACAAACAGAAGAGGAGTTGCTCTAAACTTCAAGGTAAAAAGTGTATCTAGAGGTGAAGAAAGCCATTTGATAACAAGATATAACAGTACTAAATTTTTATATTCCTACTAAAATAACTTCAAAATACTAAAAAACAAAACAAGAACTACAAGAGAAATAGATAAGCTCATAATCATAATGGGAGATTTTAACATATCTCTATTAAAAAGTCAGTAGTGATGTAAACTTAACCAACACAATTTTTAAAATTACCCAGTAGAAATATACGTATGACATAATTGTGAAAAAACACATTCTTTTCAAGCAGATACAGAACATTTACTAAAAAATTACGAATTTCTTTTCATCAAAGGACATCAAAAAGAAAGGAGAAAGACAAGCTACAAACTTACAGAAGCTATATACATGTAATCATCAAAAGATTTAGTATTCAGAATATACAAATAATTTTCACAAATCCAGAAAAATAAGCCTGAAGAAAAATGGGCAAAGGACATAAACAGTCATTACACAAAAAATGAAAGCTATGACCAAAAGTGCACAAAAAGATAATCAACCTCATTTATAACAAGAAAAATGCAAATTAAGACTACAGGTAGTATTTTACAACTGCTAAACTGATAAATATTAAGAAATGCGACAATACCAAATGCTGAAAAGGATGTAGAATAACAAGAACTTTCATACATTGCTAGTAAGAATGTAGCTGGTAGAACCACTCAGAAAAACAATTTGTCATTATCTTGTAAACGTATGCATTCACATACTCTGTAACCAAGAAATCCTACTGTATGAACCTTAGAGAATGCTTACACATTAAGACCTAGTTCACTCATTTTCCCCTTAAGAAAATCTAGTAGATTTAGATAAAAGCTAAAATTTAAGTATTTTTTAAAACCAGAATCGGCTTTTAGATTTAAACAAACATTATGTATAAAAGGGGCATCTCTTTCTTTCTTGTGCTTTTTTTTGGCAGAATGGTTAAAATAATGTAGACCTGTATTTATTAACAAACTATCAGAAACTACATAGCCTTATTAACCTTGTCTCAAATTACAGATATGGACAAACTGATATATTTTTTTTCAATCACTCATATCAGTTTCAAAACAGTTCAAATGAATTTAACCATCCTAATTTATAATTTAAAAACTTTTAAAATTTCAAAAAGTCATCTAGGTCAATATTCTGCTCATTTTACCTGAATATCCCATTTGCGGTGTCCAACTTTTATAACCTGATCTCTGGGGATTTCCAGCAGACAATGGAGTTTTTAGTGTTTGAAGATAATTATTGTCTCGTGCAGAAGAGGAGCTTGTACCAAAAGTAAAATTTGATGCAAACGTGTTTTCTGCATAAGATCTTTTGTTTCCAAAGTATGAACCTAAATTCAAAAAATTAAGTATCAATTCTTAAAGATTCAGAATTATGCAATTATGTATTAATCCCTATAATTTATATCATGTTCACTTTCTATAAAATTTCATGTTAATGATTTTTTAAATGTAACAAATTATGACAAATGACATTATTGATAATCTTGTACTAAAACATAAGGAAAAGTGCTTGTTTATATGGCTTTTGCCTACAAGTTCACTAAGACTACTCTTGCTAAAATTGTAAATTACCTCCTAATCTTGAAATACATCAGGTGTGTTTACTTAGGAGACTGCCTTTCCTCTGTTGACTCCGGCATTGAAATTCTCTCCTCCCATGTTAAGTGTATGAAGTATTAGATTCACTTGAATTCAACTGCTTTTTTACTTATACTGTTGGTATGAGATATTACCTATTTTACAGGGTTGTCATAAAAGTTAAAAGAATGTACGAAAACAGCCTAGCATAGTGTCTTTTAAAAAAAATAATGGGGCTCTTTTCTCATACTCCCTTTTATTTTCATGACAACTCTCTATCTTGATTCTCCTTAAATCACTTATTAGTTTCCTTTGCCAGGACCTTTTCCTCTGTCTGCCTCTAACCTGTGGGTTTCCCAGGGTTCAATACTTTCTCACCGCCCCTCACAAATCAACAGTACACATTTTCTCTGGGCATCTCATCTATTATCTCAGTTTCTATTAATATCTATTTCCAGACAACTCTTAAGCCTTCATACCCAGTGCTAACTCTTCGACACCATGTACCACAGTACTAACTTTTTAGTAAAGGACCAGATGGTGAATATTTTAGGCTATGTGGGCCATCCAATCTATCACAATTACTCAACTCTGACACTATAGCAGGAAAGCAGCCATACACAATATGTAACTGAGCACAGCTGTTACTTCAATTGAACTTTATATGTAGACACTGAAATCTGAATTTCATGTAATTTTCACATCACAAAATATTACTCTTCTTTTACTGTTTCAGTCCTTTAAAAATGCAAAAACTGCCCAGGTTGATGTGGCTCAGTGGATTGAGCACCAGCCTGTGAACCAAAAGGTCACTGGCTTGATTCTCAGTCAGGGCACATGCCTGGTTTGGGGGCCAGGTCCCTGTTTGGAGATAAGCGAGAGGCAGTTAATTGATGTTTCTCTCTCACATTGGTATTTCTCTCCCTCTTTTCCCCTCCCTTCCCCTCTCTTGGAAAATAAATCTTTTTTAAAAATGCAAAAACCATTCTTATGTCTATACCTGCATTATTCAATATAGCAGCTACTTAAAACGTTCCTATTTACATTAAATCAGAAATAAATAAAAGTAGCCCTGGCTGGTGTGACTCAGTGGACTGAGTGCCGGCCTGGGAAACAAAAGGTCACGGGTTTGATTACCAGACAGGGCACATGCCTGAGTTGAAGCCAGGTCCCCAGAAGGGGGCGCATGAGAGCCAACCACACACTGATGTTTCTCTCCCTTTTTCTCCCTCCCTTCCACTCTTTAAATTTTTTTAAAAAGAAATAAATAAAACTAAAAATTCAGTTCCTTAGTCACACTAGCCACATTTCAAATGCTCTCAAGCTACATTTGGCTACCATATCAGCATAGATACGGAATATTTCTATCAGAGAAATTTCTATCAGGCATTGCGGCTCTAGATACCTACATCCAACTATCTTTTGGATATAAACTTTTAGATATCTTCCTCAAATTTCTTAATGTCCATAAGAGAACTCAGTATCTTTCCCTCAAAAGTTATTCTTTATTACCAGTTGTGGTCAATTGTGCCATCTTGTAGCCTGTCACCCAGGTCATAAGCTTATAGTCATTCTTAATTCCCCATTCATCAATTCTAACAACCAATCCATAACCAAGTCTTATAACTCTTTTCCTTTAAATATCTAAAATTCCTCTCCACCTCCACTCCTACTATTCAAGCTCTTATCTTCCTCAGGACTCGTAGAGGTCTCCTAATTGTTCTCCTTGCCTTCCAGTAATATGCCTCTCTAATATATTCTTCATATCTCTTTCTGAAAAAGAGATTTCACCTATGTCTCTCAGTCTTAAAATTCCTCAGTGTCTCTCCACACTCATCATATGATAAAACCTAACTCTTTTTTATGGGTCCCAGCAAGAGTCAGATGACATATTCAAACTAGAATAATTTTAGGGGTTTGATAAAGGGAATATTTACAAAGGTGTGGAGAGGATATAAGGATATCATCATAAAGAAGTGTGTAGATGCAGAACAAAGTATGCTCCATTACCATCTCTAGGCTTAAAGGTACTAAGGAAAGGAGTGGTTACCAGAATCTGGAGAGAGGGCTGTGTCTTCTGTTTACTTTTAGACTCTAAGCTCATTCTTGAAACTCACTCCTTTCCTTGACCTTTCTTATATTTTGCTGTCCTTTCTTTATCTTCTTCCCTCTAGCCTCAAATATATTGGTAATTTACAAATCTGTATCTCTCCCAAGTTTCTCTTCTTAATCCCAGATCCATATATTTAGTTGCCTTAATATAAATATTTAGATATCCCAGAGGTTCTTCAGTCAACATGTCCATACAGAATCCATAATTTTCCCTCTAAAAGTTGGTTCTCCAACAAAATAGATTGAACTACGCCGGTCCTTTTTTTTTTTTCCCCCTCAGGAGACATACTACCATTTATCCATTAACCAAAGCTAGAGACCTGTTATTGGCTTTGCAGACAAAACGTATTTGCCTCCCTGACCAAGTTGCTACAAGTACTCCAAGTTTGTATCAGATCATCCTCCTGCTCCAGCCACACAAAATTTGTAGTTCTACAAGCATGGCATGCTATATCATACTTCTGTGCCTTTGTACAAGCTTTTTTTTCTTAAAAATGTTCAGTTTCTCTTCTCTCCTCTTTAGCTAACATTTTGTCCTAGTTATACCTCAATACCAGCTCAAGTTGCACTCCCTGTGTAAAATTTTGCTTTTGTTCACCCTTTCTTACAAAGACCTCAAAAATCTCTGGATACCTCAAATATAGTTCTTTAAAAAGTTTATTTATTGACATTTAAGTCTGTCTCTCCTAGTGAACTATAAGTTCCTAGGAAACAGAATGTTATTATCCTCAGCTCCTAACATAAGTATTTCACCTATGAGGGCTTTGGATTCTTCTGTAAATGGGGACAAAAAAGAAAAAAAAACACTGTGCAGAATTATTTTGAGGATCAGAAATACCACATGCCTAGTAAGGAGCTGAAAGAAAGTAGGCACTCACTAACTAGTGGATGTTATTATTGCTGTTGAAAATAAATGTGTGACAGAGCATTTCATGAAGGGGGAATTATACTAAGGAAGTGACCATGGATGTTGCCATGTAAAAACTGTAAGTAGTCCAGTTAGCTTAGAAAATAAAGTAAACATTAAGTACTGATGGGAGACAAGGCTGTAAAGACCAAAAACAGACCCCAAATGGCCTTGGTTATCCTGCTAGAGTTTGATCTTTTACCTCAAAATAGACACTGATTTAAATGGTGAAGGATTATGATAAAATTTTCATTCTCCATGACTCTGGTGACACTAAGCTTGGAAAAAGGACTACTTAGGAGATCGATGCAATAATTCAGACATAAAATATAAGGGCCTATAATGGGATAGAGTTAGAAAGGGACAGAATTATTTGAATGATTATATAAGATTATACTTGGATATTGAGTGAGAGGACACTTAAATTGTTAAAGTCGTCTAAGATTTAGGCAACCCAATGATTGAGATAAGTAGGAGATAAATTCAATTAATCATATAGTGAGTCTGAGGTACCCATGAGTCCCTCATTAGAAACTCCAGAAGACAGTATGAAATTGGAATTTGTAGTATAGATGAAATCAGCGCTGCGGTGATAATCACATCCAGGTTGAAGTGGTCTAGGATAAAAAAAACTCCTAAGAACAAACCAATAATTAGGAAACTAACAAAGCTGAGCACAGTTCTCTGGCAGGTAGAAGAAAATTGGGAGAGTCAAGGAAACCAAATTAAGAGAATTCATTAGAAGACTGATGAATATTAAATACAGTGGAAAGGTCACATGGGATGAACCAAAAAGTGACCACTGGACTTGATATGTTACTTTACCATTAAGTTGCAATACAATGTGAAAAAAGTGATTTTGACATGAGATGATGAAATATAAATAAATGAGTTGAACTCACCTTGAAGGACACACATTTTTCAATATTAAACATACCATTAACATGAATTTGATAAAATATTAAGTTTAATCTATTTTCATCATATTGTAGAAGGCTTGGAGACTTAAGTTCAGGAGTCAATAGGTTCACCACTCCTATCACCAAACTGTACACAAATTCTATCATTGTGTCGTGTAGAGTTGAGCTTTGAACAGGTGTTTGAACTACGCCGGTCCTTATACGCACATTTTTTTTCAATAAATACTATCAATATATTTTCCTTATTATTCTTAGCTGTATTCTTTATTTATTGCATAACATACCACTGTGTGAATATACAGGTTACTTAATCCCAGGTTTTCTTAATAAAATTTTCTTTAGCTTATTTTATAATACATATAAACATACAAAATACATGTTAATCGACTGTTTATATTACCAGTGGTAAAGGCTTCCTTCCAGTCAGCAGTAGGCTATTAGTAAGGTTTTTAGGGTGTCAAAAGTTATTCAGATTTTCGATTGGGTGGGGTTGGTGACCCTGACACGGCCCCACACACTGTTCAACGACTAAATGTACTTTTTAGGGGAGGTAGGGGGTGGCGCAGGGCTAGAGGAAGGGGGACATCATTCGGTATACTTCGGCCTTCATAAGAACTTAAGACATCCACCATCACGACCTTGTAATAACACCAATTCGGAGAGTCCAGCTTTTTAATCACTCAGACCATCCAACTCCCAGAGCACCCCATTGTCACCCTCCAACTAAACCACAACCAAAATTTCTCTGGGCTTAACCACCCACCCCGGCTCCCCGAACCTCCAGGAGCTGCAGCCCTGCGCCCTGTGGGGCGTCCACCCCACCGCTCCTTGCCTTGGGAAGGCAGGGTGCTGGGCGCGAAAGGAGGGAGGCTGCTGCTGCTGCTCCGGTCGCCCGCGGCTCCAGACGTATAGGTTGGGGAGGCGGCCGAGGCCTTGGCTGAAGGGCGGCTCTGGGGTGTCTCCGGGAGTCCAACATTGTAGCGGGGCCCTTGTGACCCAGCCTCTACGGATGCTGGGGAAGCCGCAGGGGCAGAAAGTGAGGTTGAGATCTCCTGCCTTAGCATCCTCACAAACCTCAGCACCAGTATGGGAGTTCAGAACAGGCCCTTAACCCTGACAGGAGCCACGCGAGAAAAGGCGGGAGGACGCGCAGACGCAGGCACCAGAGCGCAGGCGTGGAGCCGCGAAGCGCAGGCGCACAGGACTCCAACTTTCCACGCCCGCACTTCTTCCCCGTTTCAGTACCTGACATGCTCCAGTGGTTTTCAACCCCATCCACCACCGCAGAATTTGGTTATGAGCTTTATTTGAGATACAATGCTCCTCAGTCTGCAGGCTATCACCTAAATGGAAGTCCTCACAGCTTACCAATAACCATCAATTTGGTAGACCCATTAGTCACGTAGCACCCTATTTCCCTTATCCGAAGGCTTAATTTAACATTCCCCACATATTCCCAAATACACTAGCTGCTTCTTAATGCTTACACTTTATGGTATAACCCATCTAACACTGTTCTTGTGGCTAAACACAGGGAAGAGCCATTAACCTCAAGAGAGTAAGCATCCACAAGGTCATTATCACTGCAAGGTTGTCCTTCAACCAGTAAGCACATGGTTCTGTACATAGTATAACAGGTACCAGGCAAACAATGGACAGTTTTAAAAACAGATCCCAATCTTTCAATTTCTACTATTGAGGTTTCAGACTTGTAACTTAGGAGCAGACCACAAATTTCAAACTAGCTTCTCAACAAATCATCTTCAGGAAGTTATGTATGTTCATTTTTGAATATGGAAATAGTACCAACTTCATAAAGATAGGATTGATAGAGTAAAATACTCCTAATACCGTCAGAAGACATCCATTGTAAAACATTATTGAATCCATGCAATTACCATAAATCAGGTATTCACAGAATAGTTCACCCTCAGGTAATGGCTGCAGTCCTCGAAACTCCTTCAAATACTTCCTACAGTGCCATTTAAATGGATGTCCCATCCCATGACCTCCAAGCTTTTAGACTTAAATTTAGCCAAAACTCTTCAAATTAGTTAACTGTCAAAAATGCTCCTGGACATTCTGTGATTGATCTAAGCACCTATACTCAAAGAGGTAAAACTGACATTGACCAACATGTTTTGTGAACCACCACTACTCATGCAAAATCACTTACAATAAATACCATGCAGTACTGCAAACACATTTGAGAAATTTCAAATCTCAAGAAAATGTTCATAGCGGTATTTTCACCAAAAATGCAAAACTTGAACAGTTATGCTCATTTTAGTCTGAAAACAGATACAAAAATTGCTACCACACCCTGACTGGTGTCCCAAAGCTTATCGGTTATTGGTTCCATTCCTGGTCCGCACATGGGCTTGGGTTGCAAGCCAGGTTTCCCTTTGGGGGCCGTGCAAAAAGGCAACCAATCAATGTTTCTCTCTCCTTCTCCCTCATTTCCCCTCTCTAAAAACAAATGAAATCTTTAAAAACACTATTGTGGCATCTGTGTATCTTGGGAGTGGAAAAGCCAACAATCTCTAGTAAATAGCTGGCATTCTGCCATAAAAAAAAAATTAAAAATTATAATACAGTGTAGTCCAAATTGCAGTCATATTCTAAGATGGTGAACTGTGACTTCAGGGTAACCATAAGCCCTCAAAATAACTCTCAGACTTCAAGAGCCATTTATTTTTGTGCATCCTTTATCAATTTATATCAATTAACAATCTCATTGACACCAACCAATTTGCATGAATTATGATGTGACATATGAAGGGAACATAAAGTAGAGTTCTTAAGTTACAGATTACTGTTAGGGAAATTTAAATACATTGAGGCATAAACAAGATAGATCTTCATTTTACAATATGTATAATTATTTATTAAAATTAACACCATTTATATACAAAATATTAACACAGAAGTTATTTTAAGTTTGATAAGCACTCCAAATATAGAAATTAGGGATAACAAAATTATGCCAAACAACTTTTGCGTCAATAAATCTAGTTCACTAGTTCAGGCTGAACATTCACTCTCCGAAGTACTTCTTCAGGCATGCAAAAAACAGGACTGACAGGTTTAATTTGTTCTTCTCCCAAAAGTGACAATCCAGCAATTCCAAATAAAGTGTGAAAAGGATCTACCTGTTTAAAAAAATGAAAAGTTGGTTGAGTGTTACAAAATGAAAACGTCTAAAACCCTGCTTCTGTATGAGTTATCTATATTGCAGCTAACTTTATTTCCTTTACTTGAATGCATGTTTCAAGTTTCCTTAATAAAAATGGCTTCAAATTGTGATGTTACCCATATACTATTTTGACAATGTGATGAGAAATTTCTGAAAACTTGTTTCATATTCTTTATACAATCTCGAATATTACTCAAAATAGCATCCTACTTTCAAAGCAACACTTGGAAACATCATCCATTTCTAAGTCAGGAATAGCTCAGAAACACATACTGCAAAAACACTGAAGTGTTAACTGTTACATGAAGATGTCAGAAATACACTTGCCATGTCTCCTGGCCTGTCTGCAAATCCTCCAGTTTCCTCATCTTGACATGCTAAGATGAAGTTGCGCAGTTTTTCTCTATCAATCCAATGAAGCCTTCCAATTATCTTTAGGGAAGCCAACACCCACCATGAATAACACACATCTGGTAACTAGAACAAAAAGTCACAAAGTTGTCACAATTTTATTCGCTAGACCACACATGGGTAGGAGTGGGGAGAAATTCAGGGATAGACTGACATGCAGTGTTTGAAATGCTGAAATTCATAAAGACAATTGCTTAGAATTCAAGATAATCACTGGGAAAGAGAAGACCAAACACTCCAGTCCACAGAAAGCTATTCTGTGTTTCAGTACTTCATAACATCCACCCACCTTTATTTCACCTGCAATGAATGAATGCCTAACTCAGTCCCTTATCCAAGAAACTGGTGGTAAGGCTCATGAAATCTATGGTGATATGTTTTACTTCCCCAATTACCACAGTTTCAACAAGTGCAGTCCAGGTACCTACACACTTGCTTAAAAATCACCTATAGCCTGGCTCCTCAAAACATGGCCGACTTTAAGAAATATAAGATCCCACCTGAGATTAAGTTAAGAATCTTCATTTCAGCAAGATCCTTGGGATTCATAAGCACATTGAAAGTTGCCCTACTGTAAATGCTGGTTTTTGTCAACTGCTACCCCAATCCATTCTCTGACTGTTGGAAGTTGCCCAACCCTGACCAGTGTAGCTCAGAGGGCTGGGAACTGTCTTACAAAGTTAGAGGCCCTTGAATGACTCCTGGTCAGGGCACGTGCCCAGGGTTGTAGCCTGGGTCCCTGGTTGAGGGTGTGAGAGAGGCCACCTATCTCTCCCCTCCTCCCCCCTTTCCCTCTCTCTGAAAATAAAATCTAAAAAAAAAAAAAAAAAACAATCGCTCAGGTTTTGCATAGAACCTTAAGTAGAAACCACCTATGGTTATTTCCCTACCCCAAACTCCCAACTTATTTGGAAATACTAAGCAAGCAAAATTACACAAAAATGACCAAGAACCACCAGGCCCTATACAATTTTTTTAAGGCCAAGGCCCAGCAAGCTATTGCTCAAGTTAAATCTAGACAACCAAAGAATAGTTTCCACACGTGTAGTTTTAAGAAAGTTTTCTGACAGGAAAATCCTAGGAGTACAAATGTGTCCATAATTTTCTTGCAAAATAGCTATGCCTGTTTATTTCTTATTGTGTATGGCATCCATTTTCAACCTTTTTCATTCCATAGCACACAAAAATCACTAAAATTCTGTGGCACACACACAAAAATTGTTTTTTGCTGATTTAAACAATCACAATGGACAGTTAGTGTTGTGTAGGCTGTTGTCATTTTTTTATTTGACTATCTAAAAGAAGAGGTCAGTTCCCCTAACTAGTCAGGTATTGCATGTTTTAAAAATTCTTGCAGCACACAAAACTGAAAATTGCTGATCTAAGGCAGCATTTACTCTTCAGGGTAGTTTAGCTGCAATAAGACTGTACGTCCTACAAAGCTGAAAATATTCACTCTCTGGTCCTTATAGACCCAATTTACAGTCTAACGCATGAGAGCTAAACAAACTCTGACGGAAAACTACTGCCCTTTTCCCAAAACCATGTGTCAAAAATTAGTTTTTCCTGAAAAAAAGAAAAAAAAGACAAAACATTTTGAATGAGAAGTTTTAACACTATTTAAAATCCTCACCCAAGGATGTTTACTGATTTCAGAGAGGAAGGGAGAGGAAGAGAGAAACATCAATTGTTTGCCTCTCAGACGTATCTTGATAGGGGGTTAAAACCCACAACCCTTTGGTGAACAGGACACTGCTCCTACCAACTGAGCCACTGGTTAGGGCAATCGTTGAGTTGACAAATCCACTGTCCCTTTCTATACTATACAAATGTGTTCACTTATCAGTAGTCTGGGTCCCAGATATAAACCTTTTAATGCATAACTTGATATTCAACCAGAAATAAACGGGGTCAGGGGAGACCCTTTAAGAATTCAGACTATGTGTGAATACAAATATATTTTAAAACTAAGAATATTTGTCACTTTTTGTATTCTCCTTTAGATAACTCAAAAGTCTACCTCAGTATAGGAAGGGCCAAAAGACACATTTGTAAAGAACATCAGAAGGCACTAAGCGCATCTTTCCTTCAAAAGTGCCCCCCCCTCAACCCAGGTTTATCTCTCCACCTGTATTGTTTTTTTAAAATTAAATTTACTGGGGCAACCTTGGTTAATGAGATTATGTAAGTTTCAATTATACATATTTATGATACATAATCTGTATACTGCACTGTGTGCCCACCACCCAGAGCCAAACCATCTTCCATCACCATTTACGACCTCCTTTATTACACTCCCAAACTCCCTTCCCTCTGGTAACTACCATGCTGTCTTGTAAATGGTCACCAGGTTTAGTAAGCATTTCAACCACAGCTGTTCTACTTTCACCAAGGGCCTTTTTTCTGGACGTACAACAGAAAAATTTAATGGAAGATAAAAATTACCAATTTACAAAAGCAATACTGTAAAAGCTAAGATAAAGTGGTACTCACTAAAGATTATAATGCTATTAGAACAGTTTATCTTATAAAACAATACCTTTTCTGGCCTTCCGTTCAGTCCACCTGAAGGTAACTGTCGTTCACAAAGCCACCAACCGAGTAAATCAGAATTTACTTGATGCAACTGATTAGTAATAGCCAGAAATCCTGTGCAACAATAGATCTAAAATTACAGACATAAAGTATATGTGTATAATAATTTTCGGTAAAAATTAACGAACTAAAACTCCGCTTTATGTAAAAACTTACTGACAATTAATGGTTGTAAGTGCAAAACATGGAAATGTCACAAAATTATTTGGGGAAAAAAAAATCCAAGCCTACTATTACCAGGATCTAATTTTGCAATGAAATATTGTCAAAACTTCTCCATGGCTAAAATCATATTTTATGTCACAACTATTTCCATTATACAATGTTCTTTGACACAAACAGTTGTGTTCCAGATAGATAGGAACAAAATGTTTTAAATTGCTTAGTTAGAAACTAAGGAAAATCAAAATGTATTTTTGGTGATTACAAATGTACTTATGATTGACTGGAACAGTTTCACCAACAGGGGAATGTATACAAACCTAACAATTGTTTAAAAAAAAACATGCAACTATTGCCTTAACATCCCACATTATATTACATTCAGTGAAATTAACTGCATTCATATTTAACAGACATTAAAACTGCTATTAACATATTTTAATCGGTATTAGCAAATTACCTGCCCAGCATGGGACTCAGAACCTGGCCTACAACCAAATCCACCATCAAAGTTCATACACGATAAAACAAACTCAATTGCCTTTTCCACATTAACAGCATCCAGCTTCCCCTATAAAGAGAAAAAAACAATTCCCATTAAATTCCAGAGTAATCATGGACATTAATTATTTCCAATACAGTTGTCATAACTTACCAATAGAGCTAACGTTGCCACTGCACAAAAAGAAAATCTTGTATCAATTTCTCCTAAAAATAAAAGATCAAACCAAAACGTAAGTGTTACTAGAGGCTTCTGATCATAATATATACAAGTGATTCTGTACAACTACCAGTTAAATTCAAGCCTAAAATTTACTTTTAGGTCACCAGAAGGAAAGCTAATCTCATGTGAAATCCTTTTCCTTCAAAGGAAACTAAGAACTAGAAAAATGCTTTCCCCAAAATACAGCAAATTATCTTCAGTTGCTTATATAGTGCCCAGAAAGGGAAGGTAATTTACACTGCCAAAAGGACGAGTCAATTTCTAATAATAAACTTACCCTATTATATCAAAGGAGATTTTCACATCCCATTAAGCAGCTGGTCTTATGTCTGCACAGTATTCAGCCCTAAAGTAAAGATTATCTAAATACATTTATCAAGTAAAATGCTATTCCCTCCCTCCACTCAAATATTCAGTAAGTTTGTAAAGTTTTTTAGTATTTTTCTCTTATGAGAAGTTAAAAAAAAAAAAACAAAAAAACAAAACTTTACAAAGCCACCAAATATTGGGGGGGAAAATTCACCTACCTTATCTTTTAGACTGGCCCCCTCTGTTCCAATGCTCCTGTATGCTGATACATCTAGCAAAGTGCATGCTGGAACTTCCAGCAGGCTATTAACTCCAGTTAGACTAGCTGCTTAGTGGGACCTGAAAAGATGAAAAACTTAATCTTTTATAAATTGGCAATGCTTCCAATTAATTGTACTTAAAAATATGCAGCAAATCTTAGTATTAAACATTTTCATATGGTATTTTGGATAGCATGGATTAAACTGACATTACCCCATGTATCTCCAGCAAAAGAACCATCTTCTTTCTGTAGACTCTGAACATATTCCACAACTTTATTTATGTCAATAACATTAATACTGTCATACAGAGTAAGAATCTATAACCAAAAAAACAAACAAAATAAAACCATTAAATAAATACATCTTCAACCCTGGCAAGTTGTAATGTTCTTCCTAATCACTTTTTAGGTCATCAAGCATGTCCTTTTGTCTACACATATTGTGAACTTTTCTCAAACACGTAAACTATGTTCTATGCAATAAAATTATAGGCATCACCAACAAATCCAAACTTCTAAAAGCATTTTTCTACATATAAATTGTAACTTAAAATTTTAAGATTCTTAAATAGCCTAATTTCTGTAGACTTTAAACTTATTTGTGGATCTTTCATATAAAAATTAAAACATATAACACCATCTAGTGATTTTCAAATACTTACATATGCTAAACATTTTACCATTCAAGGTCTCAGTGTAATTTTAGAATTCACATCAACTTTGAATTCAGCTAATACATGCCATCACATCACTGACCTTGTAAACAGACTTCATTTGCAAAACTTAGGCTATTTCACATACTCACTTGTCACATTCCTTGTTTCAGTTTCATCACTCCCGGGTAAAAGTATACACCACCATGATTGCTAAACTTTTAATTAGCACTTACCTGGACAGCACTCAGAGTGTACAAAAGGTGAGGATCATGTCCGATACTAGCACTTATTCCACCACACTCATGTTGACATGACTTAATAAATGTCAGAATTTCTTCTCTATTCATGCGATGTAGTTGTCCCATGAGATCCATTACAGTCAGACCCCAGTAGATGCCACTCATTCTCAAATACTCAGACATACAGTATTCCTAAAATATACAATTACTTTAATGTGTCAGATTGAACTGATGCTGGATTATAAAACTGAACATAAAAACATTTAATCCTAACACCATTGATGAGTTTAAACTTGAACCCCTCAAATTTGGGGGTAGAGAGCCTACTACATTAACTCATTTTGCAACTGACTATACAAATAGCACTTTAATCTTTCCCAGGAGCTAAGCAAAAATGTCAAGTCAGAAAAAGACCTAAGTTCAGGAAGAACATTTCTTTCACAGTATCTACATATGAGACATCCATTCTTTTAATATATGGACTCTGTGCAAACATATGCATTACCTATTAGTGATATAAACACTTAAAAACCAAAACAGTCACCACATGCAAAAGGTTAAGATAAAACTGGTAACAGTGGCTAATCAAGGAGAAATAAAATCTGCTATCAAGATTATTCCATAAACAAATTTTTACTAGTTACCAAAGCATTTACATTTTAAGAGGTTTTGAATCATGTGGGTGGGCTTAGTGGTTTGCTGTGATCCCAGAGTCAGGGCTTAAAGAAATCAGCAGGTGAATAGTAGAGAAAGGCAGGAATAAGTCAAGCCCTAATCCCTTAGTCATGCAGAGGAGGAAAAAAAAAATTGTCCTAATGACCCCATCTATGGGAACCTATCACTTAATTTATCAATACTAGGTGTTTCTCAAGATAAATAACCTAGCTGCTTGTATACTACAGGGAAAAATATTAACATTCAGTTGCATTGTTCCCTACTCTTTTCAAAAACTGTCCCAGAGTAAAACTATTCTACATTGTTTAAAACTCAAGGTGAGTTTTTCAAGGTCTCAGTGTAATTCTAGAGCTCGTGTTATTACACATCAGCCATAAATTCAGGTAATACATGCCAACACATCACTGACCTTGAAAGTACTGCCTCAACTACCAAGGTAGAAATCTATTCTGTGCCTCTATCATACCTCATCATCTGGGCAGGTGGAGATCTACTTTGTCAAGGCCTGTAAGTATTGATAAGAACTGTAATTCTGATGCACATTCAACCTCGATATCCAAAGGTATTTCCTCACTGCACTTCAAGGACATATCTTCAGTCCTTGGAATGCAGGAATTGGATACCATTTTTAAGAAACAGGGGCCATAATGACCTACTGATTACTTATGGAAAATTGTCGGACTTATTTGGAATATATTTTCAACATAAAGTCATACATACATAATCATCTTTCTTTGAGCCATAGGATGCGATATAGTCTGCATGCTTCTCCAATAATAGGGTGTCAGGGGCGTCTGACTTGATAACAACATCCTTCTGTGGTGTACCCTTTCAAAATAAAAGTGGCGATTTCATTAATGGTTATCTTTTAATGTTTAACCCCAGAGCCCTCATAATGATCCAGGTATTTTTCAGGTCTCAGAGTAATTCTAGAGCTAAAGTAGTCGTAATCAACTTTAGATTCAGAATACATGCCAGCTCATCATAGACCCCAAAAATACCTTTATCTGTTGCTTATCTTTCCCTTAAAGAGTAAAATTATCTAAAGAGAATATCAAAGCTTAGCAATTGAAGACAACTTATGGTTTGCACGTGGCAAAAAGCGGAAGCACGAAAATAAAATTCACTCGGGTTTCAAAGCACTTTCTTCTAACCCCAAGTTAATTCCATTTATCAATCTCCCTTTAGCCTTACCCTCTCCAGCTTTAGTTTCTGCACTTGCAACAAGCCCCCATGTAATGAGAATGCAGCTCTAACTCTCCACGTTTATCTTCGTGATTGAGACGGCATTCCACTCCTTTTATGTAAGTCATGACGACTACCAAAATGAATTAATAAATTTGTTTTAGATCCCATTTAAAATTTACTACCATGCCAGTCACAATTCTGAAGATTGAGCCATAATACATATATGTACATAAATGTATATAGATGGAAAAAAGTATCGCCTATTGGCCTGGTTTTTGAGGGATTAAAAAATCGGACCTTTGAATCCCTGAGGCCTGCCCGACAGGAAGAAGCCTGGATAGATTAAAAGCGGCAACAGCGCCCGCGAGGTCTGCAGAAAAAGCTGAGTAATACTTCAGCCTCTCTGAGCCCTTAAGAAACCTCCGAAGGCCCATGTCTTTACCCAACCATTCTCCAACACTTGGTAAACCACGCTACAATCACTGAAGTGATCAATATTACCCTATCCGGCCTTCTTCCCAAACCTTCCGGAGAGCAGCATAACACAACCATACTCACCATGTCTGAAAGCAAAAAGGGAACTTTAGCAGGTCCTGGGCGTATTTAGGCAGCACGCGCCTGCGCAAGCCGGCCATCAGGTCCGCTCCGAGGCCCCACATAGTTGACCTAATTCTCGCCTGTTCCGTGGCTGCTCTAAGGACCCCACCGACTGCTTTTAGCTGTCTTTGCTGCCTGTACCCAAAGTCTCTGGCCCCCGTTTTCTCGTCCTGTAATCACATCGACTGGTCGAAAACAGTTTTAAGTAATATTTAAATATCTCTATTACTTTTAGGAAATTATTTGTTCTTAGGACTCTTTGTGCTTCAAACATCTGAAATGGCTGGTAATTAGAACTCTTGCACCTAGTAAGTGTACAAATTTCCCTTCAACTTGCGTTGTCTATTCTCGGTCGGCTCCCTTCCCCTCTGCCCCCTGCACTTGGAAATAACTTTAGAAAACAGAAACACTCCTGTTCCTTTTAAGAGCTTTCCAAAGAATTCAGATTTGTTAGATGTATTACAGCTGTTCTCATTTGTGCTTTCTTAGGTCTTCATACTTAGAATTTTGGAGCACCCATTAGAAAATATTGGCACCGCATCCCCTTAAAATGTTGCATTCAGTGACAGGTTGGAAGAGGGTTCCCGAGTGTGACATGTGTGGGCTATCAATAATTGAGACTGTTGAATCTACGATGATAGATTTCATTGTTTCTCCCTGTAATTTTGATATTTCCATTTATAGTTTTAGGTTCCGCTATTAAATTTGTGTAAGTTTATAGTTAACTGTTTCTGGTGAGTTGAACCTTTTGGCACTCAGTGATAACCATTTGTAACCCTAATACTTTTATCTTACCAAGTCTGCCTTATTAAATATTAATGTAATTTCCCCATCTTTAGCGTCTAAATCTGATAGGGGTGGGCATGGAGGAGTGAGAAAAACGAAGGGAGAGATGGGATATTCAGATCTGGGAAAAGCAATGGTCAAAACAAGACTTAAGACAAGCATCAGATTTGAAAAGTAAGATTAAGATTGAGTCAGTAATTGCTGAAGGAATGAAAAATACGCTTCACTTCCTATTTTATAAATTTAGTCAACAAATGTGTATTGGATGCCAAATATTTAGGTTCTGGGATACAATAGTGAACAAAATGGAAACATGTATAGATGTGACTGGACTGAAGGGGTCCATTTACCTCCACTCATCAAAGCCCAGTAACACACCAATAGAAGTTTGCAGCCAAGAAAGAAAGGATTTACTTCTCCTTAATAGAACATGGGGCTGTGCCCTGAGTTACAGATAGCTCATGCTCAAATACTTGGCTTCTGGATGGCTTCTGGGATGGGTTATATTTATAGGGGAAAAGTCATTACTCGTCGTGACTAAGGAAGTTAGGATCATTGTCACGGTCCTGGTCTCCACCAGTTGGACAGTGCTAGTTGATCATTGCATCTGGTTCTCACTTAAGCCATGGCATTATTCAGTCTGCTTTTGCAAGCATACAGTTAGTTGGGGTCCTTCTGGAGCTGAAACACAACTGAGGCCTAGATAGGTATCTCTAGTTTGACCTAACTCTTCTCTGTAGTCAACATACTGGAGGCTTTGTTTCTAAGATTACAGGATGCTCACACAGACTTCATTGTCCTCAGGGCTTAATGATTAAGCAAGGGAGAGAGAGGTGGGTGAGTTAGGGCATGAGGTGAGGCCAGTTTAAGTCACAGGGAAAACATCAAAATAAAAGGGCAGATTAAAGAAAATGGGGTTCCTGAGCACAATTGCATGGGGAGCATATGTTCTAGCAATTCTTCTAATTACATACAACAGTTCTAAGTGTTTCTGCTACAAATATTCTCCCTTGAGTATGAAATGACTCATGCAAGGATATGCATTGCTAGAGTCTTTGCAATAGCAAAAAATTACAAATATTTTAATTAACCATCAAGGGTTAAATAAACAATGGTATATTCATTATGAAGCCATTAAAAAGAATGAGGAAGCTCTGCATACATTGCTTTAGGAATATCTCCATAATATATTAAGTGAAAACAAAGCCAGAAAGTGCCAAACCATGTATAGTATGCTACTGTTTGTATAGGAAACAAAGGAAAATATGTACGGCTATATTTGCACATTCACAGAATTACTAAGAGCAGTTGCCTACAGAAGGAGAAATGAATGACTGGGGACAGGATTTATGGAAGGCTTACTTTTCTCTGAATATTCTGGTACTTTTAAAATTTGGTATGTTTTGCCCTTTCAAAAAATAAAAATGTCCCCCTTTCTGAAGAAAAAGTAGCCTTCCAAAAAAAAAACAAACAAACCCAATATTGATTAAAGAACCAATTTCACCTGCACCTCTAGACCTGCGCTGACCAATGTAACTGCATAGGGCACTTGAATTGAAACCTGAATTGAGATGTGTTTTAAGTATAAAATATACTCCCTATTTCAAAGTAGTAAAAATAAAATATTTCATTAACAACTTTTAAAGCATTGATTTAAATATTTTGGATACATTGGGTTAAATAAAATATATTCTTAAAATTAACTCCACCTGTTGCTGTTTACTTTTTTAATGTGTCTGTATGTGAGAGAGCACTGATCAGCCCAGAATTAAAGACCTTTGGGAAGGAGAACAGCTCTTTGAGATCTATACCTGGAAGTTTGCTTTTGGCCAGTGGCTGAAGTTGTAGACTGGGAAAGTTTAAATCCTTAATGTGTCTGTGTGTCCGTAATATGTCTGTATTACACATCCATAAAATACTACTTCTGAACAGTCTGAATTAATAAATTAGATTATGCCTTATATTAAGGAACTTTCTGATTGGTTTTTAGAGATAAATAAGTACTTATAAATGGCACAGTCCCCAAATTAACAAAAAATATTAAATATTAACCTCTTTGAATGAACTAGACGTTAAAGGGAAAAAAGTATTCTTCCAGAAACTGCTAGCTCAGAAACATTTTTCAAGTTCATGTAATTAAGATGAATCTTTGGACAGAATCAGAAAGTTTTAGTAATTTGGGTCTAAGAAAAAAACAACCATGTGGTTTGTTCTCTGCTTATCTTTATTTATAATATAAGTATAGTACCATATGTGTAAGTACAGTTTAACTTTCAGTGAAGAGACTAATTAGTCTGAATTTCCTAAACATTTTATGTTGGTTTATTGGTCAAAATAGCTAACCTAAATCCTACATAAAGTTTGCGTTTTTAAAATATAAATTTAGGCTCCACTAAATTGAATCATTATTCTAACTTTTTAAATTCCAACAATAATTATGTTTTGCATTATGTCAGACTGAAAATAATTTTTAAGATTTTTAGGAAATTTAAAATCTTGGACTGATATTGAGTAAATTCATGAATAATTATTGCATGACTACATTATTTCTTTGATATAATATTGAATCATGGATTACTGTGCAGTTTTAAGTTTATATACATTTGTTTCTTATTTTTATATGCTTTGGAATAAGTTATAGCTTTGAGCCAGGTTAATATATATGTTTCTTTTTGCCACTTTAGGGTATAAAGTGATATATATAGCCATGTAAAGTTGTGTTTATATTTATGAGCTTTGTTGGTCTGTTAAAATGCTTGTAACAAACAGTTCTCAATAAACTGCCTCTAAGTTTTGTCTTTGAAATCAAAGTTAGTTTCTTTGATGATCATATAGCTATAGTAAGAGCAATAGTGACAGAAAAATACAACCCTGTGCGGGTTTTTCTTTTCCCAGAGAAAAAGAATAGCTTTGTAACAGCGCAAGTCCAGCTGCCTGCTGCTATGAAAGCCAATACTAGACAGGCAGGTGCTGATGTAGAGGAAAGTGGTTTATTCAGATTCTGACCACCTGGAAGATGGGGGACTCACGTCTCAAAGCCCATCTCCACTCTCAGTGAAAGCAGAGGTTTTTCTAAGGAGGGAGAGGGGAACAAAATCAAGAGATCAAGGGATGGGATTGTAAAGTTCTCTACATGCAGACGAGCACAGTCCATTCCCATAAGGCAAGTGAGCTCACTCGCCTCATTTCTGCCATGTGAGGATACAAGAAGTTAGCACTTTGCAATGCAGGAGATGGCTGGCACCTTGATCTTGTACTTCCTAGCCTCTAGAACTGTAAGAACTAAATGTTTGTTGTTCAAGCCACTCAATCTATGGTATTGTTACAGCTCCCTAAACTAAAGCAGTCATCTACAGAGTTTCTTTTTTACTTTGATACTAGCTAGAAGGCAATGCTGTAAGCTACAGGCCAAAGTCTGTGCATTCAGGGACAGTCTCAGAGACTCATGGAAAGGATCAGGTGTTTTCAACTATTGATAGATTCTTCAACAAAGCCTCTTGAGTACAGATTTCCAAGCTGACATAGCTTAGACAAATTTCACACCCTACCAATGGACTAAGTCAGGATTTCTAGGACTCTTTAGTCTGAGAGCAGATGGCTTCTTAAAAGCAGTTCACTGCCCCAAGATCCAGAACAATTACAGAGAACTGAATGAACAGATGAGGGAAATTTAATCATGGTTTCTTGTTTGGAATATTGTTTATGCTGTTGTAATGTTCTCTTTTTATGGATATGTGTGGAAGCCCTTTTTAATTCTCAGGCTATATCTAGCCTTCAGTGTACTAGACTCTGTCTTTATAAACTGTAATTTTAAAATGGTATCTGATTTTGAGTCTCCATAATTCAGACACATTTACTGGATCTCCTTACATTTCATGGCAATATTCAAAAGGGAACTGTACTTCTGTTCCCTAGGATATCATTGAAGAAATTGATTCTGTAACTAAAGTCGTATTTCAGAATAACTTTAATTTAATCAGCTATGACTAGCCCATTATTAATAAACAAACGAAGTTTATATGTAGGGTCAATGCCTAAAAAACTGTCCCAGTAAAACTGAAATGGTACCTGGTTTACAGAGTACCAGCTTTACAGGGAACGTCTTGGTAAGCCAAGAACCTTAGTAAATTTTGGTGTAGCTAAGGAGAGAAATTCACCCAAATTCTTAGGTACTACTAGAGAAATCTGGTGAGTTTTTTGGACTAGGTTCCCTAGCCTTAAGATAGTAAATTTGGGAGGCTTTAAACTCCAATTAGAGTATCTGTATTAAAACTTTCAGACAGAAGTTAATCCTGTTTCTGGATTTGTGATACAAGGCTTACATGATTAATAAACACTTGCTGTTTCTAGGTCAATAGTTCACACCTGCCTTTTTGTAGTCAAAAATAATCTTGGCAGATAATTTATGATCATAAGGAAAGAGATTATTAAGAAACATTGTCGAAGACTTAGAAATGGATAAAATATTACTGAGTAGCCTTTTATTATATTTCATGTAAGATGATTTTATTTTTAGAGAGGGGAAGGGAGGGAGAAAGAGAGGGAGAGAAACAGCAACCTGATCTACAACCCAGGCATGTTTCCTGGCCAGGAACCATTGATGTGAGAGAGAAACACTGATCAGTTGCCTCTGGTACAGAGCCCTGACAGGAGACCAAACCCGCAACCCAGACATGTGCCCTGTCATGGAATAGAATGAGCAACTTATTACTTTGCAAGACAACACCCAACCAAGCCACCCCAGTCAGGGCCATGAATATTGGTTCTTACATTATTTTTATTTTTATTTTCTGAGGTGTCTCATAATTTAATCTCATGAAAAATGGGCAGGTAACTATGCAGTTCAAAATCAAAACATGACTTTTTCCCCATCATAGTATATAAATTAGGTAGCCACTATTACATGAAGTAATACAACTCCCTGGAAAGAATACAGATACACTAATAAGAACTCCACGCTTTTATTTAGGTTTCTTTTCAGAATGTATGCAGATGAAATGAGATTGTGTACAAGACACCAAAAGCTACCCACAGTCCAATAAAGTCATATAAAAATAATTTAAAGCAAATTTTACTGATTGATTTTAAATAAGGTATGTTAAATGGCTCAAAATTAAACAGATTTTCAAGTAACTTCTGATTGCAAAATGGGAGATTATAAACATCAAATTTTTTGCTATTACTGTACAAACTGAAAACAAATGCCTTCCAAATTGTAGCCAAATGAACTACTCTACTACAATATCAGTAAATCTACAAGTCACTGGCAAATTATTTAATGGCATCCACATCCCACCATATTTTCTCAATGTAAATTTTAAAACATCCTGAATACTTTTATCAACCCACTTTTTTGTCATTGGGAAAATATTGACATTCCAAGGAATTTCTCTTAATTTCAAAAGGTCAAAATAACAAATGTATTTTTCAAGGTTAATATAATCCAAGTACAGAGGTACTAAGAACAACACATAGTTTTAATGAAACCAAATATATTTGAGGAAAGGCAAGTCATAAAGTTAAACAGAGGTAAAATTACTATTAGAGTTAGTTGCATATGTTTAGTTAAGAGCACTTCTTTTAAGATTTTCACTGTGAAAAATCTTGAAGCCCTTTCTTCTTTCTTTAGCTTAGAGTGGATTATGTTCTATTAATCATGTTTCCATAGTAATTTTTTCCCAAGAAATTTTTTTGGAAGAATTTTTATTACTTAGAAAGGAGGAGAGAGAGACAGAGAGAGAGAAAGAGAAACAGAAACATTGATCAGTTGACTCCTGAATGTGCCTCAATTAGGGATCAAACCCAGGAACTTTTGGTGTACTAGACAAAGCTCTAACCAACTGAGCCACACCACGAAGGGCTCTATAGCAATCCTGTTAATTTTTATACTTGCCAATGTGTTCACGAGCTATAATAAGCCTTTGAATTTGTGCTGTACCTTCATAAATCTGCAAGGAAAAAAAATATACAGGTAGGTTAAATAGCTTCAGTACACAAATACTTCAATTTACTCAGTATTTTGGAAAATAGTGCAAGTTCTACTGTAATACCCAACTGATTCAAACCATATATAGTACAGCGATTCAAAATCTGACTTTGTGAAACCCATGAAAATATATAATTCTTCAAAGATTTTAAATTATTATAAAAAGTGATTTACCCAAACTTTGGAGGAGTCTTAAATAGTCAAATATTAATATTTCAAAGTTTGGGAAATATAAAGTCTGACATTGCTAAAATATTTCTCCAATTTCTTTGAACTGTTTTTAGCTAATTGTGACCTTTAGTCATTTTCTATTTCTACTCTTAAATCTATTTTTTTCTCTTGCTGCCTAGGGAACAGAGTTGCCAAAGAAAATGATGCTGGAAAGATTTGGTTTGGTTCACTTCCTAATAGCCAACCATTTCCAATTTGAACTTTTAATCCTAGCAACTTGTTAGTTCATCTTCTCAGATGGCAGAAAAAAGTTAAATGGTTGATAATAGTAATAATTATAATAACTATAGGCTGCAGAAAAGGGATAGTATCATTAGATAAACCTGCACCTTTGGATACAGCACAGATTCTGGTCCTCACTTTTTTCATGTCTAAACTGAGAGGCTGTACTATGTCTAAATTTTCTTCTCACTCTAGCATTCTAAGATTCTACTACTAAGATTTCAAATGACTGAATCTGTCAAATAGTTTCGGGGGTAGAGAGAAGCCAGGGAGGAGATAATGAAGAACATGACTTATAATTAAGGTATATGTGGAGAATGTGTGCATTTATATCTAATTTACTGCATACTCCCTTCTCTTTTGGGAGAAAAACTCCCAAGTTTTTCTAACCACCAATTTAATTTAGAAAACAGAATCATCTATATCTGTCTCCTCATGTTGGTTTTTTACTCCTAATTACACTTTCAATCAATTCAATAGTTGTCAGATAAGATTCAAAATAAAGTAATTTAATTTTGAATGATATGCACACTGCCCTGGCCAGTAGCTCAGTTGGTTAGAGCATCGTCCTGATATGCCAAGGTTGTGGGTTCGATCCCGGGTCAGGGCACATACAAGAATCAACCAGTGAATGCATAAATAAGTGGAACAACAAATTGATGTTTGTCTCTCTCCCTCCCTTCCTCTTCCTCTAAAATCAATAAAACTGTGTCTTGTGGTATTGGGAATCATCAGGTAGTGTTCCAGAAATACATACATACATACATACATACACACTATGCATGCTTTTAGGAGAGGGAACGGTGGGTTACAATGAGTTAAGATGTCAAGACTCAAAGAAGGCTGATCCAGACCCATGAACATTTCTAGACCATTTACTTTGTTAACCTATTCTCTCTTAAGGCATATACTTAAAGGTAACATTCTTATTTCTGTTAATTAGCTCTAAAAACTTCAACTTAAAATTATCTATGGTGTCATTTATTTTTATTACTAGTGGCAAAAAATCTTTAAATGATCAAAATCTGTTGTCATCTATAGGTACATTATTTCCTAAAAAACAAAAATAAATTATTTTTAATCTTACCTGATAGATCTTGGCATCCCTCATTAGTTTTTCTACAGGATATTCTGTATTAAATCCATTGCCTCCAAAAATCTGCACAGCATCAGCAGCTAACTGATTTGCAATATCTCCAGCAAATGCCTTTGCAATAGACGCATAATAGGTATTTCGGCGACCAGCATCAACCTCCCAAGCAGCTCTCTGGTAACCTAATCTAGCTAGTTCAACTTTCATTGCCATTTCAGCCAGCAAAAATGATACTGCTTGGTGCTAGAATTAAAAAAGAAAATAATTTAAGAATATCTATTGACTAATTTAAAAGTTTTTCTCCTGATGTTTTTTAAACTTTTAAAACTAATCTTAGACTTAAAAAGTTATACTCTGCTTCCTCCAATGTTAACATATTACAAAACAACAGTATACTTACCAAGAATAGGACATTAACATTGGTACTCTATTATCAATTTAACTATAAACTTCATTCAAATTTGGCTAAGTTGTTCCACTAATGTCAATTTTCTTTTCAAGGATCCCAAATATATTTCCAATGGCATTTAGCTGTTATTTCTTCTTAGTCTTTCACAGTCTATTAAAATTCCTCAGTCTTGCCCTGTCTTTCATGACCTTGATATTTTTAAAGAGTACCGACTGGTTATTTTTTGGAGACTGTCCCTCAATTTTGGTTTGTCTGATGTTCCCTTAGGACTAGAATGAAGTTATGCACTTTTGGCATGAATAATACAAAATTTATATATATCTTCTGAGTATCTTCTAGGATTTTTAAAGAAAATTGCTACATATAATGAGTAATAATAAGTATCAAATGTTGACAGGGGAGAGTGACTGCCATGACAAGGTCAAATAAAAGATGCCTGTAACCTTCTAGGGATCCATAATCAAATAGGAGACATAAGAGGGCTACTTTCACTAAGAGATAGTAAGTGTTCTATGAACTGTATGGCCAAGATATGTTATAGATGGATATATGTTCACCACTTTTTGATAACTGAAAAATTCAAATATATAGTACAGTTACAGATTTAGAAAAATGTATTTATGGAAAAAGCGAATATATAGCAAAATGTCCACTGTACTTAATTATCCCTGAACAGTGAGATTACAGGTAAGTTTTATTACTTAATTTTACTTATATTGTATCATATGAATTATAATGAACACAGAATGGAACATATGCTTTAAAATGAAATACACTAAAAGAAGTTCTACAGGTATGGGGGGGATAAATGGTGACTTTAAAAAAAAGTCTATAGGCATTCAGAAACAAGAATTCTAAGATGATCAGAAAGGTGCTTTGTGTGATAGGCATCATCAAAATGGGTTTTGAAGACTAAAAGATTATAAACAGATTATAAGAAACCCATGCTTCTCTTGAGAGGTTTTGACTAATATAAATCAAATATCACAAAAAATTTTTTAAAAAACTGACCTGTTCAATTTCAATACATTTACTATATTTAGAGCATACACCTAGTCACATCACTTTAGAATATAACAAGTTGCTTGAGATTGGCATGGTAATTAAGTCTTAGAGGAGGTATTATGAACCAATATGAATAATTTCTATGTGGGAGAAGTAAAGCAATATCCTCCCTTATTTCTGCGTGCCTGAATTGTGCCCATTTGCCTAAACCAGTGATTCTTTAAAGTTTCTTTTTAATTTTTTTTGTTTTAGTTTTCATTGTTTTTTGAATAAGTTACACACTCACAAGACCAAACTTCAAGGTTTCCTCCTACTTTTATCATCCCTCTCTTCTCCCATACCATTTAATTCCCCTTCCTGGAGGTAACCAGGTAACAGTTTGTTTTTAACCTTCCAGATACATTATATACAAACATATATGCAATTTCATCTACAGTCTCTGTTTTTTCACACATATGCTAGCCTACCATGTTGATGAGTCTTTATTTCACTTTTCTTACTTATCAATAAGTCTGAGTACTTTTTATATCAATCAATAAACTTCTTTATACATTTTTAAAAAATAACTGCAAAATATTCCACTGTATGGATGATCAACATTTTTGTTGTTACTATATTTGGTTATTTCTGCAGAATGCTGAAATGATATGTATGTTAACTGCACATAAAAGAGTGTATCTGAAAGGGAGTATCCATATAAAGTAGAGCCGTAAAACAGCCATTGCTACATGGGCCCAAATGTCGATACTTTTGATATACATATCCAAAATGTGGTTCATAAAAATTACAAAACTTGTATTCCCACTGGCAGTATAAACTGGAACTTATTTCACCATAGCCTTGGCAACCCAGTTTAAGACCCCATGCTTCTCTTGAGAGGTTCTGATGTACTAATCTGGGGTGGTGCCCAGTTTATGTGTTTTAACCAACACTCCCAATGAGTCACATTCAGCTGTTTTCGGCCCATGTTTTGAGAAACTCTGTTTTAAACCCAGATCAGATTCCTTGCAATGTGTCTAGCCCATAATAGTCTCTTATCTTTTGGTTTCTGTAACTTGTCTGTAGTTCTCATTTTTAGACTTAACCTTCTATATTATTTATTAATATTTGTTTTTATAATATGTATCTTATTCCAAAAGTCAAGATGAACTCTTTTATGTCAAACTCCTTTTCTTTCCCTGAAAATAGCACATATCGTGTGCAAAAAGGACAGACTCCTTAAAAAAGTGATGAGTGGGTTCAAATCTTGGTTCCATCATTTATTAAGTGGGCCTAATGTTTTACATGCAATAAATGGGACTAACAGTACCTACTCCACAGTACTGTAAGGATTAAATGAGTTAATACATGTAAAGCACTTAGAATAGTGACTAGAACAGAGAAAAAATCCAATTATTAGTATTTAATACAGTAGGTGTTCAACCACTATTTGTTGAATGAATGAAATAGAAGTTCACAATGCTAAGTATACCCTAAGTGCTAGGAATATACAGGTTTCTACAACAGAAATTCATTACTTGTATGGAGCATACATTCTAGTGAGGGAATAAAGAAAGACAATGAACAAATACATGAAGAAAAAAAAGCAGAATTAGTATGTATAGAGTGTTGGAGGTATTATTTTTAACATAGGGTGGTCAGGGTAGATTTCTTAGTGAAATGAATGACAAGACATTTGGGGGAAAGAGTAAAGACAACAGCAAAAAGGCCAGTGTAGCTAATAAGATTTGTAAGGATTTTAGATTTTAATGAGTGTGATGAGAAGATACTAGAAGAACTTTTACCATAAAACAGTTAATAAAGGAGATATAAATATACTTCTTTTATATGTTATTTCAGTCTCAAGTTTCAAGTAGTATTTTTCCCCTCAGCCATTTTCCTATCAAGAAATGGAACTCATTGGGAAAAGTTGTTGGTAATTAGCAATAATAATCAATACAAGTGGGAATTATTCTTAACAGATTCTTTCATACCATCCCAGATCACTCCAAATTTAACCCAAATGCAGGGTTTTTTACTAGAAAAAGGAATATGCAATTACTGCCATTTTGAAATTTTACCATGCAGTTCCTAGTTTTACTAATTGACAATAAAAAGTACCACCCTCTGTTTCTGGCAGCTCTCTTTAGCTATATCAAGTTAAGCAATATGAAAAAAGTAGAAGTAGCATTCACTTAAAAAGAAGTGATAATACCAACAATAATAAACATGGTAGTGAATAGGACAGCTGTAATTAGAGTATTCCTCTACACAGTTCCTTAAAACAAAAAAACATTCTTAGTCATTCTTTTTGGAGATAATAGACCAAAGCTATATATAAATCCCCATAGCATTTATTTTGTTTAGCCTAAAAAAGAGAAGACTAATGGTGAGGGGTCCTGGAATTACAAACATGCTCATTATATTACTGAGAAAAAATAATTATAATACACATAATAATTTTATTTTTTATCATTTTGGACTATATGGAAGAAATACTCTTGCTGGATGCTTTTAAGTCAGGTCATAAAATGATGAGCCTTTGTGTCCCACTGAGTCTAATGGCAGTGGTGTCACGTGTCTCCAGCATAAAATACAAGCAATACGCTCAGGGAGAACTAGGAAATGGGAATGGTGGAAATAGGATAGGAAATACCTAAAAACTAAGGCTGATTATTTTGGAAGTGAGAAGAAAAAAGGCAGATATATTGAAACATAGTTTTCTTTTAGAAAGTAATAAATCCTAATATATTACTTTGATATTTCAATTTTAAATGAAAAATAAAGATTACAAAGAATATTATAGATGAGTGTGGATTATCCACTGATATGGACAGAAAAACAATTTAAGTGGGGCTAAACTAAGCTTTATCACAAAAAAACCCAAAAATACCTCTGCATACTACATAGTTACCTCCCTCTCTCCTATACTCATACCACATCCACACCTAATACAAAATTAACATATTTACATTTTTTGCTTCAAATTTCTGTATGAAAACATAAGTATATGGTGATATATCTTTGTATATTTCCTAATATCAGACATGAAATGGCTAAACAATTATTAAACTGTGGACTCCAAATATGAGGTGACTTATTCATCATGCCCTATTCAGAGAACACAGACTCCAGCAGATTAGAGTTGTAAAAAACACAGAGACTGTGTGTGGGGGGGCGTGGAGGAAGGCTTGGCAGAGGGTAGACAGTGAATTATGGCATCATACCACTCTACATGTTAACTAAAAATACAGGCAGCCAGTGTTTTGCAGAGTAATTAGGAGGGAAGCAAATCTTGAGGAGAAATCAAATGGTAAAAGACTATATTTTTTAGTAAGTAGTCAGTAAAGACTGACTTTTCTATACTTACTAATAAGGGCCATAAGGCAAAAATGTCCTGGGGCTGATAGTAAGAACACAGAAAAAGAATATCCACCACCCATAAGAAAGGGAACAGAATACTCCATACTGAGTTCAAGAGTTATCATCAGACATGTGGTGAGAATGCCTGTAAATGATGACAGATCTGCACTGACTGATACTTGTAATGATTATCTGTTTAAGAGTAAGCTACATTAATAGTAGTATACATTTTACTAATCCGTATACATATAGTTCCATGTAGAAATATGAATGAGCTATAATGTAAACTGTACTTTTGGTCAAAAACAAGAAGAAAGGCTCAATTGAAAAAAAAAAAAGAAAAAGAGCTTAAGGAAAGAAACAAATTTTCCAGTTACCTCCAGGAAGGAATTTAAATCCTAATTGAAAAGAAATGACACAGACAGGGAAAAAAAATCAGACTGAGATTTGGGTTCAATGGGAAAATAACTGGAGTTTTAACGGACAT